AAAGAATAGCGTTAACTCGGTCACTCCGCTTCACAGTTAAATCCCACCCAAACGCTTCGAGACACCCTCTCGACATGGAAGGCTGACTGATCCCACAGATTTGAATCACTTTCTCTTCTATTAAACATTGTCGCCCTCTGGCTCAGTCGGTAGCTCTCTTGTTTCTGAGTCAGAAAGTTGTGGGTTCAAGTGGGTGGGGGACGTGAAACTCGTAGAGTCTAAGATGACTATATGAGTTATTATTAAGATGGTATTCAAGTAACGGGAATTTCCCCCACTCTCTCAAGAGAAAAAAAAATCCTGTCAAGCGCTTTGAGACGTCAAGAAGACGTGAAGAGCGCTGTATCAAATGTAAGGACTATTATTATTATTACTATGATAAAATTCTGAATGTTGACCCAATCGTTAGTAATCTTCGCATTCCACACCTGTTTTTCATGTCGTGAAGTGCTTTGCAGGATTTCACAGTGTTTTTTGTTGGCCACTGGCGTCGCTGTAATTTAGTGATCAGAATTAGACAGAAAGCTTATGATGTATAAATGTATCACATGTCCCCTGTTAATCCTTTTACACCTAATCTTCTCGAACTAAATCACTGTAACACTCCAGATAAATGACCCTGTACTGGACTGTTTCATAACAAACACAAACACATCTTGAATTGCAGTAAAATAATCAAGTTGATTTGGGGGTGAACTTTGGTCCATGTAAAAAATAAAAATGACGAAATAGACTTTACTGCAGTTTTTTTGTTTGCTAATGATCTTAACGTTAATTAATAATTGATGATAATAATAATCCTCGCATTTAGACAGCACCTTATTACTTTCCGTCTCAAAGCACTTTGCCGGATTCGCTGTCGAGTGCAGTGACTGTGTGTTTTGTGGCGAATGTGGAGCTGAATTGCAACACCGACGTCCCCGAGAAGAGCGAGGAAGCAAATGAGTGATTTTATGGTGGGGGTTGGAGGGGGCAATTTGTCAGGCAGAACAGGGTTGTGGGGGAGAGAAACTCTTCTCTTTTCCGACAGCTTCTTTAACTTCTGCCTGAACGGGGAGGAAGCTCGGTTTAATGCCGCCCGCACACACACACACACACACACGCCCCCCCCCCCCCCCCCCCCCCCCCCTACCCCGCGCCACACCGGAGCGTCAGTCTGGACCGTGTGAACTCAACCCAAGGGGGCTCGAACCCACAACCTCCCACCTCGGAGACCAGAGCGCTGGCCGGCGGCTGAGCTACGGCACGAGACAGCCGAGCATGGAGTCCTGCAGCTCAGTGGTTAGAGCACTCGCTTTGCAAGCGAGGACCTGAGTTCAACTCCAGGCAGGGCGAAACCTTGGGCAAGTTTCCTTACTCCACATGCCTAATAATAATCCCTCCAAAAACAAAAAACAATAATAAATTGGTCATTTTCAATCTACGACTGTTTGTGGGACATTGCTGTGCGCAATTGGCTGCCGCGTTCACCCACAAATAGACAGTCAATTCACTTTACAGTGTGTTCTGTGAAGCGCTTCAGGACGTCCTCCCGACGTGAAAAGCGCTATATCAAATGCAAGGATTATTATTATTATTATTATCAGCAAGCCACCTTCCGTGAAATCGCTTCAGTGGGTCGCTAGCGAGTTGCACAGCGAGCCTCGGATCGATCCCCGAGGAGCAGCCAGTGATCAGCGCGACTTTCTGCCCGTCGCTCGCCATTGCTGACAGAGCCCAGGAGCCTGAGCCGGACACTGGAGAGGCTCAGCGGCTGGAGAGATGGGATAAGCTGTCATCTTAAGCGAGGGACGTTTACGTCACCTTTGTGCACTCGGACCGGTAATCCACCGTGGACACCGATTACAGGCGGTTTCCAGCTGCCTTAGGTCGGCTCAGAGTTTTAATAACAAGAAGAAGAATCCTTGCATTTGGATATAGCTCTTTATCACGTCGTTGAGACGTCTGAAAGAGCTTCACAGGATGTACTGTAAAGTGGATTCACTTTAAATAAATTAGATAGGGAAGGGTACCAAGCCCAGCTCAGCGGGTTACGCTGCCCGGACATCTTAGGTTGGTTTACTGACTACAACGCAGGGCTTAGTTTAATTTTTTTGGATGCTGTGGATTGATTTTCCTCCCAAATCCCCATTTCTCTCTCTCCCTCCCTCCCAGCTCCCTCCCTCCCTATGGGTTTCTCCAGCGAGTGCAGATGAACGCCCCAGGTTCAATTCCCTCGCTCGCTTTAACTCGATCAGTGAGCATAGCTCAGCCAGTTGGTCAATTGGCCTGAAAGGCCAACTTCCATCAGTGGCCTAGCCTTCAGCCAATGCGCCCTCTAACCTCTGGACTCCCTTCCCCTACTACCCCTCCGCCTGTGCCCTCTTTATCTTTAATAGATAAGCCAACTGATGACCTAGTTCTTCAACTGCGCGATGATCCCCCCTCCCCCCGCCCACCGTGCAATGCTCCAAGATGATGCCCTATGTGATGGGCGCTTCGTGAACGCAAGTTGTCGTGTGTTTTGTGGGCAAACGCGGCAGTTAATTTACACATTTTGACATCTCGCAAAAATGGCCGTGAAGTGAACGACCAGTTGTAGCTGTGGTGATGATGGGGTGGGGGGAAGGAGGGACTTGTCGGTCAGGATAGTTGAGGTGGTGGGGAATGGCTGGGCTGTGTAACATGGGGGAATTCTACGTTCCCTGCGCTAGAACCTTTAATTGAACAATATTATGGGGGAAGCTGAGTAAACTAGCGGTTCTTTGAACTCTTGTGTTATTGACTCTGTGTTGCGCAGCATTTGACTGTTTACACTGTGAACACAGAGAGGAACAAATTAGTCATTATCGATGGCAGAGAATCGGAGCCCAAAATTCCACCCCGTCTCACTCTTTTTTAAATTGATTGATTGATTGATGGATTGATGGATTGATTGATTTAGAGGGGTTTAGAATTGTAGCACCTACAGGAGGCCATTCGGTCGATCGAGTCCGTCCCAGCTCTCCGAGCAAGCTTTCCACTCAATCTCACTGTCTGCACCCTATCCCCAATCCCTTCAAGTCTCTATCCTTCTACATGTGTATACCCCCCTTCATGTACGTTGTCAGGTTGGCTCAGTGGTAGCTCGCTCTCTCTCTCTCGCCTCTCGAGTCAGAATGTTGGGGGCTCCATCTCCATGTCAGGACTTGGAATCACACACGTAGGCACATCCGTAAGATGACATATCAGTTCAGTGCTGGGGGTGCGCTGCATTGTTGGAGATGCCGTGCTTCAAGTGAGGTTAAACTGAGGTCCTGTCTGCCTCTTCAGGTGGACGATAAAGATTCCCATGGCTCGAAAAGAGAAAGAAGTTTCTACCGGTGTCTGGCCAATAATCCCCCCAAATAAAAACGTGTCACTCACTCCACGGCTGTTAGTGGGATGTTGCTGTGTGCAATTGTGCTGCTGCGTTTGCCCACAAAATACTTCAAAGTAAATTCTGTGAAGCGTTTTGAGGATCCTTAACGTCTGTCTGAATAGGGCATGGACTAGGTGGCTCGCAATCCCACCCCTCCACTTACCCAACCCCCAGCGCTACATTGGAGCTTTGTTCTAGACCTCGTGAGCTCAAAGTCTTCTGACTCGGAGGCGAGAGTGCTGTCACGTGAGACAGACTGACACACTTAAAAAGGACCTAAATGACATATTCCGAGCTTCAGTCACATTGCAAGTCTGTCCGTAATCATAAGGTCACCTTATCTGAGGTAAACTTGTCCTAAGATGCATTTCACAACAGGATCTGGTATAATCTCCCTCTGTGTTTACAGATGCCCTAATAACAATTTGTTGTTTTCGAATTTTTTTTTAAACTGTACCCCCCCCCCCCCCGCCCCCATCGGGGTTCTGGCCGACAATCCCATGGATAAAACCAGTGGGATGGGGATGGCTGTTTACGGCCTCGCTCCCTCCTACCTCTCTGACCTACTATCCCCCTACCTACCTGCCCGTACCCTCCGTTCCTCTGGCTCCGGTCTGCTCCACGTCCCCCGCCCCAACCGCCCTACCATCGGTGGTCGGGCCTTCAGCCTCTCAGCCCCGAGACTCTGGAACTCCAACCCCCAGTGCCTTCGCCATTTCCTCCCTCTCCTCCTTCAAGACCGGTCTCAAGACCTTTCTCTTTGACCGAGCCTTCAGCTCCCCTCTCGACTCTCTTCCCCCTCCTCGCTCCCTCCCTTCCCTCCCCTCACCCTGACCATTTCCGCCCTCCTCGCTCCCTCCCTTCCCTCCCCTCTCGACTCTCTTCCCCCTCCTCGCTCCCTCCCTTCCCACCCCTCACCCTGACCATTTCCCCCCTCCTCGCTCCCTCCCTTCCCTCCCCTCCCCTGACCATTTCCCCCTCCTCGCTCCCTCCCTTCCCTCCCCACACCCTGACCATTTCCCCCTGCTCGGGTCATGACCCAACTGTGCAGCGCCTTGGGACGTCCTCCTGACGTGAAAGGCGCTTTATAAATGGAATCTTGTTGTTGTTGTTGTACGGTGATGTCAAATGTGTGCAAATCTGCTGCCACCTTCATCCCCATAACGCGCAGTCACAGTAATACCCTGCAAAGCGCGTTGCGACATCTTGATGAGATAGTAAGGCGGTGTCACAATTGCAAGGATTATTATGACAGTGAAACTCCCGATAACTCGACCCTGGCTTAACTTGTGATCGTGCTGCCAATATCCTGGCCGCGTTTGTTTATGAATTTATACATCTGCCTAAGTTGCCATTCTTGATAAATTGCCACTGAGCCTTTTTCCTTGGAGCAGAGAGATATCAGGTGTTCACTGTATGATTAGACAAGGTCAAACCGTCCCTCATGCCAGAAAACTGTTTGCTTCCTTGAATTCGCCTTGTCCGCTGGATAGCGATCAACTCTTAAATAAATATGTTCACAGATAAAACGAATGGTGCAAATCCACCTCCAATGTTAAAGATTAATAGATATCATTCCCACATATAAACTGACAAGATTTTTGGGGAGGTTTAGTCCCAGTGAAAGTCTGTCACCATGAAGGGGACATGTCTGTATCTGGTCCTGTGGACGTATTTCACTGCTTTCTCCCAATGTGGTGCACTGTAAGTATTAATATTCCTATTTCCATTAATAGTAATCGTTGCATTTGATACACTGCCTTTCATGTCAGGAGGGCGTCTCAAAGTGCTTCGCAGGATTTTACTTTGGAAGGGGAGCGACTGTGTGCTTTGTGACCAAGTGGGGCAGCCAATTTGCGTGCAGTGATATCCCTGCAAATAGCCGTGAAGCTGAAACATTACCCCCCACCCTCCCGTGCTGGCTGTGTCCTGTTCAGTCAGACATTAAAGATCCCCCGTGGCGCTATTCGAAAGGACAAGGGAGATTTTTTTTCTCTCTCTCCTAATGTCCTGGCCAACAATCCCCCCAGATAAATGTAGTCGTTCCCTTTAGGGCTGTTTGCGGGAATGCCTTTTTAAGCGCAAATTGGCTGCCGAGTTTGTCCACAAACTACACAGTCTCTGCACATCACAGTAAACACCTGTGAAGCGCTTTGAGATATCCTTCTGATGTGAAAGGCGCTGTATAAAATGTAAAGATAATTATTAGTAGTAGTCCAGTAAACTGATAACTTGTCTCACCTATCTGGAAGGCTGATGGAAGCCGATTCAATAACAACTTTCAAAAGAGAAATGGATAGATATTTGGGGAAGACAAGTTTGCAGGGCTGTGGGGAGAGCGCGGGGGAGTGGATTGATTTGGAAGCTCTTTTCAAAGCGCAGACCGAATGCCTCCTTCCATACTGTATAATTCTATGATGCTATGAAAAGGGCTCTGACGAGTTATCCAGAGTGGGTGAGTTAGGCATATGTATAAATGCATAAATAAACACGGCCAAAATATTGACAGCACGATGACTACTTGGTAGTGACAAGTTAAGCCAGGGTTGAGGTGTTACCAGGAGTTTTACTGTAATTATATTAATTACCTGTTAATTTGTTGTCTTTCCCCAGCTACATTCTAACGACTCCAAATCTCCTGAGGGTCGACATCTTCGAAAAGATTGTTGTGGAATCTCATGACACAAGCAGTGTCTTTAAAGTGCAAATCCGTGTCCAAGACTTTCCTGCCAAGTCTGAAATTCTGTTTGCTACCGAAGTCAATCTCTCACTAGATAATAACCCGGCCTCTGTGGAAATCAAGGTAATCATCTGAGGACGTAAACCGCAAGTTAATCCTCACATTTATACAGCGCCTTTCACATCGGGAAGATGTCCCAAGATCCTGGATAGTCCAGGGTTTGCACCCGAGCTGGGGTGGGGGTTAAGGTGGGAAACAATGACCTAAAGAACGGCCAAAAATAAAGTTTTGAGACGGACCTTAAAAGGGGTGAGGTAGCAGGAGCTCCAGAGGGCGAGGGCAGATAGGCTGAAAGCCTGAACCCGAGATTGGGGCACAAGACACAAAGCGGAGGTGAGCCCACTGAGCGAAGGGAGTTATAAGTTTAGGTGACCAACCCTGTTTCAATGTGGTAGTGTGGGTTCAACACCTCGGTAACGTATTGCCTCTCCTCCCCGGTGAATTCCTGCGAAGCACTTTGAGACATTTCAACGGGTTACGGCGCAGTACTGAATGCGAGGATTATTATTAATGACGTATCTCTTTCCACCTGTTTTCTGCCCAGATTCCAGCTGATCGGGTTCCTAAAACGAGATTTAAACAGTATGTTATCGTGAACGCCAGGTTCCCAAACTTCGAATTGAACCGAGAAGTTCTTCTTTTATACGAAACTGGTCACCTGTTCCTCCAGACTGATAAACCAATCTACACACCATTGCAAAACGGTAACTCCTTCAGCAAATTATTTTTGGTCACCCGTCCGAGTGTCTCACCCGCACACGAGGAAACCCGTTACTGCAATCGGCCATGTTTCTCATCCACGTGGAAATCTGTCACTTGTCTCCCAAACCAGCCCAAGAATTCTATAATTGTCACGTGGAATTGGGAATGGAATCACATTGTTCGCTCTCCCCCTCGAGGGGTGGTGGCACCCTCTGCTTACCTAATTCTGGATAGTGTTAGGGGTGGGGTTTCAGGGCTTTCACTAACCTGAAATGAGAAGATTCAGATGCACTCCTTCACGCAGGAGCATAGCTTCCCTCCCTCTGGGGTGTATTGAATAAACCCCGGGGGGGGGGGGGATTTATATTCTAACACACAAAATGCGCATGAATTAATTAATGTTTCTCTGTCGTTGTGTCTCTGGTCTCCATTCTTAGTGCTTTACCGATTGCTCACTGTGGACAGGGATCTGAAGCCAAACAACAAAAAGGCAACTGTTGAAATTTTGGTAAGGCTCTGACCTGATATATTCTCACGTAGATTCTGTATATTAACAGTGGACATATTGTCACCGAGGTATAATTATATGATGCTATGAAAAGGTCTCTGATGTCATGTACCTGTCCACGTGTCAGCCCCTCTGCCCATCCCCTCACCCCCCCTTCTCCCCGTGCCTCAACGGGTTTAGTGGAGCCCTGATCTCTGCTTACTCTCACAGCTCGTTCCTCCTCTCAGACCCCACAGGGTGTCACCGTGCATCAGGTCCAGATAAATAAAGAAAGCAGAATGAAGTCGTCTGGAATCAGCACGGGCACGTTCGCTATCCCAGAGCTGGTGCAGTAAGTAGCACTTCCCAAATTTGTCCCTGATGGAGAGGGGACGCTGCTCGGCCAGTCATTAACCACGGTGCAGTCTCAGCCTGTTGCTCTCTCGCGCGCTCTCTCGTCTCTGAGTCAGGAGGTTGTGGGTTTGAGTCCTGAGCTCACAGTGCACACCCCGGCATGTCGGAGGCAACGTCTAGGAACTCTAGGAGAGAAGGGAATTTCTCTCTCTCTCATAAAATCGTTCGTTCACTTCACGGCTGTTTGGAAGACGTGCTGCGTTCCTCCCACATGTCTCGACGACCCGCTAGTGCGCTGTGTCCAACATGAGGATTATTATTCTTTCTTAACTAAATGTCGGTTCATTTCTACTTCCAGGTTTGGGTTCTGGAAAATTGTAGCAAAGTATGATACCGATGAGATCTACAATTATACAACGGAATTCGAGGTCAAGGAATACGGTGAGGGATCCCACTGAACAAAGCAGTCGACCATTTTGCTCCCTTACTGTTGATGGAATTGATCTGCCCCCCACCACCACCGGTGCCTGTTCATGTTAAAACATCCCCGTGGTGCTATTGAGAAAGAGATGGAGTTCCCCCCACACACACGTAAACCCACACACTCATACGCACCCCAGTGTCGTGGCCGACAATCCCCCAAGTAAAAATTAGTTGTTCACGCTGTGCGTGCCTTGGCTGCCACATTTGCCCTCAAATCATGTGTTCACTGCACTCTAAAATTTGTATTGTACTGTAAGCCTAAAAATACCACTTTCCTCTTCAATAACACGCAGTACTCCCAAGCTTCGAGGTCGTGTTAGAACCGAGGAAGCATTTTTTCTACGTGGATGACGTGAAGTTGGACGTGGACATCAAGGCTAGGTCAGTGTGGGCTTGTCGGGGAGAAGAGAGCAGACAGGAAATCCGCTTTCTGTTCCGTGCTCACCTCACCCCACTTCCGAATTTAGGGTTTACACTTTGTCAGTCAGCCAGGCTCAGGGGAAGCTCTCTCTCTCTCCTCTGAGTCAGAAGTTTGCAGATTCAAGCCCCACATTAGGTCTTAGAATCACATAGTCTAAGCTGATGCTCCAATACATTGCTGGGGTTGGGGGGGTGTTGCACTGCCGCAGGTGCCATCCTTCAAATGAGATGTTAAACCGAGCTCCCCGTCTGATGGTAAAGATCTCTCTCTCCCAGTGTCCTGGGTGGCAGTCACCCAAATAAAGTAAGTTGCTCACTTCGTGTGGAGGTCCCTGAGCACAAACTTGCTGCCATGTTGGGTGACTGAATTTACTGTAAATCCTGTGAAGCGATTTCCTCGTGATTTGAATGCCACCTTATCGAATGCAAGGATTATTATTATTTATTTATTTATTTAGATACACCTATGGCGAATCCATAGAAGGCCGTGCGTTCGCTCTCTTCGGGGTGGTGACGGACAAAGATAAAGTACTAATCCCATCGTCCCTTCAGTCCACCGATGTGAGTACAACAGTCACTCCTGGTCCATCCTGCTGCCCCTTCGCAAGGTTGTGAATTCAAGCCCCACAACACCGACAGCTAACCTGTAACCTTCCCAGCTGTTTGGGGGACGTCATTGTACAAATCGGCTGCTGTGTTTGCCCACAAAACACACAGTCACTGCGCTCGATAGTAAAATCTTGTGAAGCATTTGAGATGCCTCGAGGATGTGAATAGAACTGAACAGATGCAGGGATTGTGTGTTCTCATTAATTTAAATGCTTTTTACCCGTCTGACCGTGTGTGTTTATTTTCAGATTATTGAGGGGAAAGCGTCGTTTTTTCTGGAGAGTAACACAATATCTGAGGTTTTGGGTCCCATTGAAAAGCTTGTTGGATTTTCGATCTACGTCATTGTCAGCGTGATAACCCGCACAGGTGAACCCTGCAACTCTTTGGACACCCGGTTGATCATGGGATGGGTTTCCGCTTTGCGTGGGTGAATCAGCCAATTGTTTTATAAACTGCTTACACTTTGTAAGTTTCTTTTCTAATTCCCCACTTGTTTCTTCCAGGAAGTGATATGGTAGAAGCAGAAAACTCTGCCACCAAAATCGTCAAATCTCCATACGTAATACTGTTCACTAAAACACCAGAGTATTACAAACCAGGGATACCCTTTGACTTCATGGTAAACGTAACCCTTTTTTGTGTTTTCCTTTTCGCTTTAGTGCCGAGGGTGGGTGTGGGGGTATATGGGGCTGTGTGTAGTGTGTGTGTGTGTGTTTATTAATAATTGCTTTTTTTTAAACTTTGGACCTTTTATTTTCCCGGCTCAAACTCCACTCTGCTCCTGGTCTGACCTCCTTATAGCTGGGATGCAGTTACCCCAAAAAACTAAGCCTGGAGTCTCACCACCTTGCCCCTTCCTCCCTCTTCTTCCCTCACCCCCCAATTTAATTTAAAGCCCATCTTGTTTCAACCAAACTTATGATCACTCCGCCCCCACCACTATCCCGACACAGATGTGAACAGCATTGTGTAAAGGTTAAGTAGTTGTTGTTATTGTTGTTAAGGTCTCTGTCACAAACCCTGACGGTACCCCAGCCAGAAGAATCGAATTGTCTGGGAGTCATGATACGGCCCACAGCGAATCCATCACCGGACTCAATGGGAAAGCCAGAATGGTTATCAACACACCAGGATCGTCAACAGTTATCAAAATAACCGTAAGCGCTCCACCACTTACTATATCCAGTGCCTTTGGACCTCCTCCAGACGTGAAAAGCGCTTTGCAGTGTAATTTTGTTAATGCTGCTTCTTCTTTTATAATAATAATAATCATGGCATTTGATACAGAGCCTTATCACGTCTTCGAGAAGCCTCAAAGCGCTTCACAGGATACACTGTAAAGTGAATTGACTATACTTTGTGGGCGAAACGCAGCAGGAAATTGTGCACAGCAGCGTCGCACAAACAGTCGTGGATTGAGTGACCAGATTATAAATTTTTTAAAAAATTTTTATTTGTTTTCTTGAGGGATTATTATCAGATGTGTGGAGTAAGGAAACTTGCTCAAGGTTTGTCCAGCTGGAAATCGAACCCAGGTCTCTCGCTTGCGAGGCAAATGCTGTAAACCACTGAGCTGCAGGACTCCAGGCCAGGGTTGAGGCCAGGAGACTGAGAACCCTTTTACTGAGAAGCTGGATGCTGTTATGTGGGGGTGGGGGAAGGGTAGGGCGGGTGTCGTGGAGGGATGAGATTTGATTCGGATAAAGAGCCTTGAATCAAATACAAGACTTATTATTAATGATTATTGGACTTATTTCGAGTTGTACAGTTACAGTGCAGCATTTAAGTAACATTTGACCTGACCTGTCCCTTTGGCTCTGTCCTTCCATTGTGTGGTGCAGGTTACAACAAAAGATCCAGAGCTCCCAAACGAACGTCAAGCCACGGCCTCCATGGTTGCCAAAGCCTACAAAACGATGTTTAACTCAAACAATTACTTGCACATCAACCCCAAAGTGACAGATGGAGACAACCTGATCGTTTATCTGCACGTTCCGAAAGAAACTGCCGCCGTTACCGAGAAGATCAAGCACATCAGCTATATCGTATGTGCCTTGTGACTGCAGTCCTGGTGTAAAACTTGCCACTCCTGACCTCACCGCGCCCCAGCAGCACAGAGACCACTTGCTCCCTGTCACAGAACCTCCTCACACTCGCCTAGAAATCACTTTACGCCTTGGCACCTCCCTACCTCATCCATCTGCCAACACACACAAACCACACACACAAACAACACATACACACTCGCACGCCCCTTGCCCTTGGCCAGCTCGGGTCACCTGCACCCCCTGTGTGTCAGAGGTGTGTTTTCAGCCAGTATTACCCTGTTCTGTCACTCACTGCCTCTGCCCCTCCACCTCCCGCCCCACCACCGCCTTCCCGGTCTTCAGATTGCTTCTGAAGGCTTTCCTCTTCAACCCCTCCTGCGCTCCCCTCCCCTCTCCTCTCCCCTCGGCTTTTGTTAAGCAGCGTTCAGTGACGCTGCCCCTCGGGAAGACCACCGTGTAGATGTGAAGCAGCGTTGTATCAAAATAGTAAAAATCAAGCAAACTTTACCCCATAAAATCCTCTTTCTGGGGGGGGTGGCGGGCGGTCGTTATCTTTGTTCCTCAAATTATTTTTCCTCTCTCTCGCTCTCTCTCCTCTCGCTTTAGCTGATGAACAAAGGGGCGATCGTGAAAGTTGGGAAGCAGCCAAAGGACCCGGGGCAGACCGTGGTGACGATGACGGTTCCGATCACCAGTGCGCTGATCCCATCGTTCCGACTCGTGGCTTATTACTACATAGCTGTGGGAGGGAAATTTGAATCAGTGGCTGATTCCATCTCGATTGATGTGAAGGACACATGCATGGGATCGGTAAATATTCTGTTATGCTGGGGGTGGTGGGGGGGGGCGTTGCTCGTGGGGGCCATATACGAGAGGTAATTATTTGATGCCTTGCCGAGGCCACCAAGTTGGAGGAGGTGGTGGGGGGAAGCATGTTCATTGCCATGATATCTGATCATCTGGAGCCCCTTTGACTCTTACAGCCTCTTGTTTGCCTCTTCTGTGTGTCAGCCTGGCTCAGTTGCCTCTAAGTCAGAAGGTTGTGGGTTCAAGCCCCCACGTCGGGACTTGAAATCACACAGTCTAAGTGAAGGAGGTCCAACCCTTTGGCTGCTGAGGGCCGGATGCTGGATTTGGGAACTGTCCCTTTGACTCTTCACAATAAGCAATATTTTTGCGTTTCCTTTCCTGAAACAAAGAACCCTATCGAAGTCCTCTGGTTTGAATTGTGTGCCTGTATTACTTCAGTTCACTTTATTTCGGTTACATTGCAAACCTTAGTCAATTTAAAAATTCAGACAAATTTTAAAACAATAATACAACCAGCACTGAGGTACTTGTCTCTGTGTCTCTCGGTGTATCTGTGTGTATGTGTGCGTCTCTCTCTCTCTGGGTGTGTGTGTGTGTGTCTCTCTGAGTGTGTGTGTCTCTCTCCCTGGCTGTGTGTGTCTCTCTCTCTCTGGGTGTGTGTGTGTGTGTGTGTGTATCTCTCTCTCTCCCTTGCTGTGTGTGTGTCTCTCTCTCTGGCTGTGTGTGTGTGTATCTCTGTCTGTATGTGTTTCTCTGTGTGTGTGTATGTGTGTCTCTCGCTCTGTGTGTGTGTGTCTGTCTGTGTATCTCTCTCAGTCTGTGTGTGTTTCTCTCTCACTCTCTCTCTGGCTGGGTATGTGTCTCTGTGTTTCGCGCTCGGTCTGTGTGTGTCTCTCTCTGTGTCTCTATCTGTCTGTCTGCATATGTTTTTGTATCTCTGTCTGTATGGGGTGTCTCTCTATCTCTATGTCTGTCTCACTCTCCCTATTTGTTCATGTCTCTGGGACGTCCTCCCAACGTGAAAGGCAACATGAAAGGCGCTCTATAAATGTAATTTTGTTGTTGTTGATGTCTCTGCATTTCTCTCTGTCTCTCTGCCTATCCAGTTACCGATTTGAAAGTGATTGACAGGTTCTGCTTCTAAATGATGCCTTGTGATGCTTTTTTCTCCCAGTCGAGTCAGACCAAGCCAGTGCTCCAGACTGTGTTTGCGGGCCGGGCTGGGTGTGATGTTTAAATCAACTTAGTCTAGTTGACACTCCAATGCATTGCTGAGGTGGGATGCCTCAGGAGTCCTGTAGCAAAATCCTATGCACTCGTATCACAAGTGAGACTACCCGGGTTCGATTCCCGGGCAGGGCGAAATGTTAGGCAAGTTTCCTTATTCCACACACCTCTGTTTACCCAGGAGTAAGTTGGAACTTGGTTGTCAGTCGATTGGCGGATCACTTTTCTGGGAGTAATAATTCCTTCAATAAAATATAATAATAATAATCCCCCAAATAAAATTGGTCACTCACTCTACGGCAGTTTGTGGGGCACTGCTGTACTCAAACTGGCTTCTGCGTTTGCCCACAAAACACTCAGTCACTCCACTTCACTGTATATTCTATGAAGCGCTTTGAGATGTCTCAAAGCTGTGATAAGGCGCTGTATCAAACTTAAGTATTATTATGATAATTACAAGCAGTATTATTATTACTACACAGCTCAAAATCACTGGGGCCAACGAAGGGGACAATAAGAAGATTTATAGCCCACACCAAGCATTCAAGTTGAAAGTAACAGGCGATTCAGGAGCCAAGTTTGGTCTTGTGGCTGTGGATAAAGCCATCTACGTGCTGAATAACAAAAACAGACTGACTCAGAGCAAGGTGAGGATCCCGCTACACTATTCTGGGAACTAGAGTCTGATGTCCGTCCGGTTCGCATAGTTTTATCGTCTTCTGCTGACAGAATGTCGAACTTCCTTCAGAAAAAAAAACCTTTGTGCGATATTGACTCCAAATTTCCGCCAAATTGCTGTGCTTCGGGATAATGTCCTGGGAGGTGCTTTGAATCGCCATCCTGACCTCCCCGGTGAAAGGCGCTGTATCAAATGCCAAGATACCTGTTGTTATTGTTGTGATGAATAATGTTTTTTTTTTAACTTCCCGCGTGTGTTCCCTGTAGATCTGGAGCACAGTAGAGGAGAGCGACATTGAATGTAGAGCAGGAAGTGGGCCTGATGCCTTTGGTGTTTTTAGTGATGCAGGTTTAGCTTTCACAGCAAGCAATGGGTTCAAGTCGACCACACGGACAGGTAGTGTTCGCTAGGACTTACAATACATTTTTGACAATTCGTTGTGAGGTCAAACACGGGAGTGGAATCACATGGTCTAAACCGAGGTCCAATCTGTTTGTTCAGATGGACAATTAAAGACATCTCCCGGTGTCCTGGCCAACCAATCATTTCCCCAAATAAAATCGATCGCTCACTTCGTGGCTGTTTGTGGGGACGTGGCCTGCAAATTGGCTGCTGGGTTTCGCCCACATAACACACAGTCTCACTCCACTTTACAGTGTATGCTGTGAAGCGCTTTGAGACATCTCGATGACTTGATAAGGCGCTGCATTAAATGCCAGCATTGTTATTATTATTAACTCTTTCAACATAGAAGTGTCTGTCAAGGAAATGCCATTGAAATTAAGATTGCACAGAGGTTCGGTTCAGATATTTCCCCTTCAATTCCATTCCCAGTTTTCCCCCGTCGGCCCTATTCTCCCTCACTTGGCAACCGCTCCAATCACTGAGATGCGCCCCTGACCTTATCTCACAAGGTCTCATCAATTACTGGATTAGGATTATTGTTATCAAGATTAGTTTGGATGAAGGCACTTTGACCCCGTTAATTTCATCCCAGCAGCACACCCGCCCGACCTTTATCCCATTTAAACGAGCCCCAGTGTCCTGGCCTCAACTACCCACACTGGAGACTCGTGTGTATTTTGAAGGCGAAACATGGCCACCAATTTGCACACAGAGATGTCCCGCAAACAGCCTTGGAGTGAATGAGCGATTGATGGCCAGGTCACCGGGAGAGAGAAGCTCACTGAGGAGACTGGTTGCATGTTACTGGGCCTGTATGAAGTGCAAACCATGAAACAGGTTAACAACAAGTTATCATTACATATCAGACTGACAAGTTGGCTTTGGTTTGTTGCAGAACTCGGGTGCAAACAGATACAGAAGAGGAAACGTCGATCGCTCACTCTCATGAAGCTAAGGAGATCCAAAGGTATATAAGAGGAATCTTGCCTCAGGCGTGAAGGGAATAGTGAGGCCCAGTAGGGCTTGGGCTGTGTGGAATATCAACAGCGGCACAGATCTGTTCGGCCAAATGGGCTCCACCACTTGCTCAGTGCCGGCCAGCTCATCAGCTCATTACCGACCTCCCTTCCTTTCCTGTGCTGAGTGCAGGAAGTCAGGTCAGCGGTGACCTGACCACCCAGAAGGCGGCCGTTTTCATCGGCCGATTGTGGATTTGCCTCTTGTGGTGGGAGGGGGCTAAAAGCATCTCAGTACTTCCCGCTCCGCTCCTGCAGTGACTACCCGTGTCCTGGGGTGACTGTATCCGTGTCCTGCGGTGACTGTATCCGTGTCCTGCGGTGACTGTATCCGTGTCTCTGGTTCTTTTAGAGAGCAAGTACTCAAAACGTTTACTGAGATGCTGCCGGGATGGAATGAAGTCGATTCCAATGGCCTACTCGTGTACCTTCAGAGCAAGACGCATTAAGCAAAGCCGTGAATGTGTTGATGCCTTCCTGGACTGCTGCAACGCTTACCAGCAAAGGAAGAAATTAGAAGCAAGTAGTATGATGACATTAGCACGAAGTAAGTACATGATACTGTGCCGGCCTGCGACTTGGAACCAATGTAGTCGAGGCTGAGGGTCGGGACAGGGGGGAAACAGATGGACAGAGAGGGGGAGGAAGGCAAAATGGTTGAATGCTCACCCATTGATGAGTTGGGGGCAGGGAAAAGGGCAGGCGGGTGGACAGCGAGGGGGAGAGAGAGAGAGAGGGAGGGGGATGTGGAGATAATAATAATAATAATCCTTGCATTTGATATAGCGCTTTTCACGTCGGGAGGACGTCCCAAAGCGCTTCACAGAATATACTGTAAAGTGAATTGACTGTATATTTGTGGGCGAACGCGGCAGCCAATTGCGCACAGCAATGTCCCACAAACAGTCGTGGATTGAAAATGACCAATTTATTATTGGTTTTGGAGGGATTATTATTAGGCGTGTGGAGTAAGGAAACTTGCCCAAGGTTTCGCCCTCTGCCTGGAATTGAACTCAGGTCTCTCACTTGCAAAGCGAGTGCTCTAACCACTGAGCTACAGGAGATGGTGGGTGGAGGGAGCTGAGGAAGGAAGCGGGTGGGTAGGGATTGCCAAATTCCTGCGTGGTCCCACAAGCTTTTTTTCCTTTCCCCCCCATTCATCTCTTGCAGGCGACGATGATCAAGGTTATCGTCTGTATGAAGATATTTTCGCCCGAAGCAATTTCAGAGAAAGCTGGCTTTGGTACCTGTACGACATGCCCAAGGACACTGACAGAGAAGGATGGGTATCCATTTCATTTAAAATCCCTGTTTATTTATCAGAAGTTGTAACCTCTGGCCTGTCTTCTCTGTTCTCCTTGCCTCTTGGGTCAAAAGAACATGGGTTCTGCTCACATCCCGCTCCTCTACCCACTCCCATTGCTCAGCTGGCTCTGGCCTCCTGCGCGACACTGGTTCCCTCTGCTCCAATATCAGCAGCCATGCTTAAAGCCAATACTCCGAGACTCTGGAACTCTCTGCCTCCATCCCCCTCACCTCGCCCCCTCTTTGCCCAACTTCGGATCCCTCCTTAAGACCTTCCTCTTCATCTGTGTCTACGGTCACCTCCCACCAACTCGGCGTTCATGCTCTGCCACTCTCAAGCGCCCTGAGGCGCTACCCACTTGTACTGTGTTAAATGCAAGGTGTGGTAATGTCGCTGTGGAAATGTCCACTGAAAATAAGCCTCTTTCTGCTTAATCAGCTATGCTTCAAAAGAAATACCAGGTCACCTGCCAGACTCTATTACTTCCTGGGAGGTGCAGGCGGTCAGTATTTCACAGGATAAAGGTATGGACATCACACTGTTACGTTTGCTCCACCCCCCCAAAAAAAAAAATCCATCCATTTGGAAGGTTAGGGGTTAAAGACCCCTCTAACGTCTGGGACTTTGAGCTCGCAGTCCAGGCTACAATATATTTCTGAGGAGTGTTATGCACTGCAGTGCCACACGTCAACTCTCAGCCGCCACACACAGTCTGTTAAAGATGTTAAAGATTACCCTCTCTCCGCCCCCACCCCCGCCCCGCCCCCCCCCCCCCCCCCCCCCCCCCCCCGCCATGGCGCTGTTCGAAACGAAAAGGGAGTTTCTTTCCCCGATGTCCTGGCCAGCAATACCGCCAACAAAAAATTGTTCATCGACTTCACAGCAGTTTGCGGGGCGTCACTATGAGCAACTGGGCCGCCTACAGATATAGTCACTGCACTTGACGGTGAATTCTGTGAACCCCTTTGAGACATGAAAGGCGCTGTATCAAATGTGAGGGGAATTATTAATGTATTTGAACGAATGAACGTTTGACAGGGACGAGTGTGGTCTGACCCGACCTGCTTGTATCCTACAGGTATTTGTGTGTCTGATTCTTACGAGATGACAGTGAAGAAAGACTTTTTCATTGATCTTCGTCTGCCCTATTCGATCATACGGAATGAGCAAGTGGAAACCAAAGCCATTCTTTACAATTACCACAGCGAGAAGATTAAAGTAAGTTTTGTTCTTACTCAAGATTTTTATTTCAAAGTAAAATACAAAATGTTACCACAGAATACAAAGTGGAATTGAATCTAGGAACTTGAGAGAACGATCTTTCAAATGAGTCATCAATTCTATAGAAATGTAGGTGTCAGCTTGGCTCAGTCTGTAGCACTCTGGCCTGGGAATTAGATGATTGAGTCATTAAACCTCTCTCCCCGACTGTGGCCAGTACAGATAGGCATTAAAGATCCCCCACAGTCACTTTCTAGTGTATCCCACTGAAGCACTTTGAGGTGTCTCGGTGGTGTGATCAGGCGCTGTATCAAATGTAGGGATTACTGGTTTTATTACATATTCCTTTGAAGATCAGAAGACTGAGTGGGGATGTGATTGAGATATATAAGATGGCGGGAGGCTTAGATAAGATGGACGGGAACGATTATTTCAAGGGGTACAGGCCATTGTTTTAAAATCAGAACCGAGAGATCTCGAACGGGGACGAGGAGGAACTTTTTCACATAGAGAGTGGTGGGAATGTGGCATTCTCTGCAGCAGCCAGCTGGGGAAGGAACCATGTGCCCCTTAAAAAAAGACTGGAGGCAATGTTGAGGGATATGGGGGATAAGCTGAGATATGGGACTTAGGATAAGATGTAGGATGAACACTCCATCGTTGGAGTATATACCCGAGCCAGTCTTGATGGGCTGAATGGGCTGTTTCTGAGCTGTACCTTCTGTGTATCTATTTATCACCCCATAAAAGGCCTGCATTTAATCTGCTTGTTCCCAGGTCAAAGTGGAGTTTCCATACAATGAACAGATCTGCAGTGGGGCAACACCACAGAAGAGGTTCAAACAGACGGTCGAGATTCACCCAAAGTCTTCCGAAGCCGTGTTCTACACCATCATCCCTCTGGTGCTTGGAGATATTGCAATCGAAATAAAGGCCTCTGTCTATGAAGCTTTTGTCAGTGACGGAGTGAGGAAGACCCTTCGTGTGGTGGTGAGTGTCTGTATTTTTACCCCGAATCTCCATCATTCCCATCCTGAATCCTCGGCTCCACCTTGTCCGTCTTCAGGTCATGACTGAACACCTTCCTCCTCGACCATGCCAACACTCAACGCCCTTCTCTCCCCCGGCTTGGCATCATTGTTTATGCGATCCGAGACTTTATCCCACATGAAAAGAGATATGTAGATAGATATTTGGGGAGAACAGATTTGCAAGGCTATGGGGAGAGCGAGGGGGAGTGGGGTTGATTTGGATAGCACCAGACACAGTGGGCCGATTGGCCTCCTTCTGCGCTGTATAATTCTATGATTCTTTCACGTCATGTGGATGTGTTGAACGCTTCACAGGAGAGACTGTTCAATGCAATGGGTGAACACACAAGCCAATTTGCGCACAGCGACATCCCGCAAACAGCATTGAAGTGAACATTTTATTTTATTTGGGGGGATTGTCAGACAGGATGAACAATCTTCATCTCAATCCCGATCACAAGATCCCAGGGGTGGGGGGGGGCGTGTGGGCATCTGAAGCCCCTGGATCTCATCCTTCAGATGAGCTGTAGAAACCTAACTCCCAGTCTGTGCTCTGTTCAGGCAGATGTTAAAGATCCCCCACAGCGCTATTGGGAAAATAGAAGGGAGTTTCTCTTCCCCAATGTACTGGCCAACAATCCCCCAAATAATTTTAATCTTTCTGTCTTTGAAACGAGTTAAGAACTGGGAACTCACACAAATGTATTTTTTTTCATAGGCCGAGGGCAAACAGGTGGAAAGAGTGCAGACTATCATATTAGATCCTCAAGGTGTGTTTGATTTTTATTTACAATTATGCAGTACCCTTCACTTAGCCTAACTCCACAGGGATGGGGGTCAGACATTGAGCAAAGGGAGGGGAATGAGGCACGTTCAAAGAGACTTTAAAGACAGAAAAGAAGGGGGTGGGGGAGTTGGGGGTTGGCATGCAACAGGATAGTGGAAGGAGGGAATTCCGAAGGTCAAGGGGCATGAGAACTGAAGACTCGGCTGTCGATGGTGGGTCACCACTGACATCACTTCCTGCACGTTGCACCCAGAAACAACAACAACAACAAGATTTCATTTATAGAGCGCCGTTCACGTCGGAAAGACGTCCCAAGGCGCAGGACCCGAGCAGGGGGGAAATGGTCAGGATGAGGGGAGGGAAAGGAGGGTGCGAGGAGGGAGTAGAGAGTCGAAACAGGAAGCACTCGCTGCACTTCACAGGGAAGACTCCACAATGCACTTTGAGATGTTTCGAGGTGATGGAGGGGTGGGGGGGAGATGAGATGCAAGTCCAACACAGTTTGGAAAATGATCATCAAAAAATATATAAACTATATTGATTTATTTTCCCTTCTTCTCTTCAATAGGTGTACATAAAGAATTCCAAGTTGATAATAGAATCCCAGATAATGTGGTTCCAAACACAGAGCCCCAGACCTTCATCAGTGTACAAGGTACAGGCACCCAGGGTAGACTTGGCTTGACCTGTCTTGCTTTCAAGGTTAAAAAGAGGGACATTTTGTGATTTTTTTTCCACAAATCTCTTGACGTTTAAGAGTCACTTGGGTTGGGTCAGCCTGTGTTTCAGTTGGTCGCACTCTCGCCTCTTGATCCAAAAGGTTGCCCACACATTTATCACATCTAGGCTGGACCGTGCTAACTCCCTGTTTGCCGGCCTCCCAACTTTTCCCTCCACAAACTGCAGATCATTCAGAACTCTACAGCTCGTGTCCTCTCCCGCACCAGGCTCCATGACCCTATCACCCCCACCCTCACCCGGCTCCACTGGCTCCCCATCCTCCCGAGGATAGAGTACAAAATCTTCGTTCTCTACTTCAATGTCCCCCATGGCCTTGCCCACTCCTACCTCTGACCTAACTCTTCGGCCACTCTCCTCTCCCTGCCGTCCAAGCCCTCCTGATTGCAACCCCGAGCTCAGGTCCAAATCCCTGACTGTCCAGCGCCTTGGGATGTCCTCCCAACGTGAAAGTTGCTGTGTAAAGTCATTTGTTGTTGATGCTGAAGATGTTGTGAGTTCAACCCCCTCCCCCCATGTTGGGGACTTGGAGCTCACAGTCTATGCTGCTTGCCTCACCCCTTTATCTATCGAACTCCCACCTTAACACTTACCTCTTTGATTGTGCGTACAGTCCCGTGGCCCCATCCCCTTCTCCCTCGCTCTGAGTCTGACCCCAGCCACTAGGACTCTACCCCTTGTGAAGGGCCCTGTGTAAATGTAAGTTGTTGTTGTTTTTGTTCTGCTGAACCAACAAAACAGGGAACGTGTTGGCTGAGACCATTGAAAATTCTATTGATGGGAATAAGCTGAAACATCTAATCCGACAGCCAACTGGGTGTGGCGAGCAGAATATGATCTCAATGACCCCCGGGGTGATTGTCACTCATTACCTGGACAAAACCGCTCAGTGGGATAAAGTGGGCCTGGACCGCAGAGAGACTGCGCTAACCTACATAAGGAAAGGTAGGCGATCACCAGCGAGAACCCCCAGCCTCAACTGCTCTGCTTCACTTCCTCTTTGCCTGTCATCGGGTCAGCCTGAAGGCTTCTCTCTTCAACTGCGTCTACAGTCACCTTCCCTTTCTCCCCACTCGGGCTCAAACTCCACCACTGTTAAGTGTTCCCAGACGCTACCCTGAGTGAAGGGTGCTGTGTGAATGCAAGTTGTTGTTATTCTCCTAATCTTCCTCCTCCACATTTGCCACACTTCACTACATTATAATCAGCCAACGTCCTCCACCATTTATAACCCCACTGCCATCTGGTCAGGCTATAAGCCCCTCTGTCCCACTCCTTGAAGCTCCATCCCAGAGTCGCTCCAACTCACATCTTTCCCCCCTCACTCGTCTCCCAAACAAAGCTCGGGTGCACAGCCAGGGTTGTTGAAGTTTCTCGGTCCATCCTCCCAATGTGAAAGGCCCTGTGTTACAGTAAAGTTTGTTTCGCTCTCAACTGTAGGTTACGCTCAACAGCAGGCTTTTCGCAAGCCAGGAGGATCGTATGCAGCCTTCATCAACCGCGCTTCCAGCACCTGGTACGTCAGTCAAGTCAGTCTTGTCTGTAGTTTGTACAGGCCGCCAAGCTCAACTCGTCCACATCAGTTCCCCCCGCGCCTACTCCCCTCTCCTTATATCCTTCTATTTCCCTCTCCTATGTCCGTATAATAATTGTTGTATTTGACGCAGCACCTTACCACGACTTCGAGAAATCTCAAAGCGCTTCACAGGATACACTGTCAAGTGAATTGACTGTATATTTTGTGGGCGAAACGCAGCAGCCAATTGCACACAGCAGCGACCCACAGACATTTATGAATTGAGTGACCCAATTCAATATTTTTTTGAAGGAATTATTACCCCCGGAAAAGCGATCCGCCAATCGACTAACAACCGGGTTCCTACTTACTGCTGGTAAACAGAGGTGTGTGTAGTAAGGAAACTTGCCCAATGTTCGCCCTGCCCAGGAATCAAACCCAGGTCCTCTCGCTTGCGAGGCGAGTGCTCTAACCACTGAGCTACAGGACTCCCAAATCCTTCTATTCCCATCTCCTACACCCCTCTATTCCCCTCCACTGCGGGGGTCGTGGGGCTAATTGTGACTCTGTGTCTCGCCAGGCTGACCGCGTATGTGGCGAAGGTGTTTGCAATGGCCCAAAGTCTGATCTCAATAAAAGCTGAGGTTTTGTGCGAAGACCTGAAGTGGCTAATATTAAGGAAACAGAAACCTGACGGGATCTTTGTGGAGTACGCAGCTGTGAGTCAACTCGAAATGCAGGTAAATAAAACTGGGGAGAGAGAGAGTGCCACACATCGGGGACCCTGACCCTTCAGATGAGACGTTGAACTGAACTTCCCCATCTTTGCCCTGTTTGTGCTGTTGGAAAAGAGAAGGGAAAAGAGTTTGCTCTTCTGTCTGTCTGTCTGTCTGTCTCCAAGTGTCATGGCCGACACGACCCTTCCCTCTTCCCCCCCCCCCCACCGCTCCCCGAATAAAGTCATTCACTTCAGGGCTGTGTGCCAGGTGTTGCTTTGCACAATTTGGCCACTGTGCTTGCTTACAACATACACAGTCACTTCACTTGACAAGGGGAGTTTTTCTCTCTCTCTCTCTCTCTCCCCCGGTGTCCGGGCACACAATTCCCCATCCCTCTCCCCCCCAAATAAAGTTGGTTACTCACTCTGGTGATTCGTGGTGTCGTCGCTGTGCACAAATCAGCTGCCGTGTCCGCCTACAAAACATACAGTTACCACACTTTACATCCCTGTGAAGGGCTTTAAGACGCTTTGTGAACGTGTGAAGTTGTTGTATCAAACGGAAGGATTATTATTATTAAAATCCGACGATGAGATTTAAGGTGTCGGTCGCGAGGGGAAAGGGCACGTCATCAAATGCGAGGATTGTGACCGTAACACTTTAACCGATTTCTCTAGGGTGGAGTGCACGGGGCTGAAAATGATGCCTCGTTGACTGCGTTTGTTCTTATCGCAATGATTGAGGCCAAAGATCTCTGCTCAAGAAGCATAGGGGTAATGTATTTCAGTATTACAATTTAACATTGTTCCCAGGAAAAGGGACCGACAAGCATTGATAACCGGGATGAGTGGTTTGGCCGATGAGCAGTGACAGGAGGAACTGGGACTATTTCTGCTGGAGCAAAGAAGGTTGTGGCAAGACCTGATCGAGGTCTTTAAAATGCTTTAAAAGGGAGAAATGATTTCTATTGGTTGGTGAGTCAGTGACTGGAGGTGTGTCAATTTAAGATAGTTAGCAAACGAGTAAAAGGGGAGTATTTTCCCCCCGAGTGGCTAGGATGTGGAACGTGCTGCTGGGAGCCGTGGTTGAGGCAGAATCCACATTAGCTTTCCGAAGGGAAATGGATGGATATCTTAAAAGGGATTGGACTGTAGAGGGCACCACTGATGGGCCTGACCTCCCCTCACAACCAGTGGAGGGCCCAGGAGCAGTGAACCCTGACCCTCAGCAATGATCCTTCTCATGGCCAAGCCCCGGGTTGGAAAGGGGACCCGATGGGATGATTTTGATTTCATTTCGATTTTAACTAACGATGAATAATCTTACGTCGACATTCGTTCCAGAGTTATGAAAGCAGCATCCAGAAAGCCGGTAACTATTTGGAAGGCCGTATTGCCAAGCTGACCCGCGCGTACTCCGTGGCCATCACTACCTACGCCTTGTCGCTCTTGGGGATACACAAGGACGACATTTTGATGAAGTTCGCCTCCAAGAGTAAATTTTTTTTTCTTTCTCTTTCCCTCTGGGCGAACCCTAGTTACAAGGTGGTGTTTTTGCTCCGTATAATTACTCTCCAAACTTACAATGGCTTCCCCCTGTAATTCGCTTCCCCCGTAATTCAGTTCCCCTGCTCCCTCCAGAAGCTGCAGGTCATTCAGAACTCTGCAGCTCGTGTACTGTCCCGCACCAGGCTTCGGGACCACATCCCTCCCACGCTCGCTCGCCTCCCCTGGCTCCACATCCCCCAGAGGATTGATTTCAAGATCCTCATCCTCACCTACAAGGCCATTCACGGCCTTGCTCCCTCCTACCTCTCCAACCTACTATCCCCCTACCTACCTGCCCGTACCCTCCGTTCCTCTGGCTCCGGTCTGCTCCACGTCCCCCGCCCCAACCGCCCTACCATCGGTGGTCGGGCCTTCAGCCTCTCAGCCCCCAGGCTCTGGAACTCCATCCCCCAGTGCCTTTGCCTTGCTTCCTCCCTTTCCTCCTTCAAGGCCGGTCTCAAAACCTTTCTCTTTGACCGTGCCTTCAGCTCCCCTCTCAACTCTCTTCCCCCTCCTCGCTCCCTCCCTTCCCTCCCCTCACCCTGACCATTTCCCCCCTCCTTGCTCCCTCCCTGCTCGGGTCATGACCCAACTGTGCAGCGCCTTGGGACGTCCTCCTGACGTGAAAGGCGCTTTATAAATGGAATCTTGTTGTTGTTGTTGTTCCCCTCTAATTTGCTTCTGTTTGAGCTTCCCTGCCATTCGCCTGGACCTTCTTCTCGGTTCTAGATGGAACCTACTGGGCAAAAGCCAATAAGGAGAATTCCATGTACACCATCGAAGCCACAGGATACGCTCTGCTCGCATTACTGCAACTGGAGAAATTCGAACAAACTGGTAAAATCGTGAGGTGGATGTCTGCGAAGAGAGATTATGGTGGCGGCTACAAATCCACCCAGGTTACGTTTTGTTTTTCCATTATAAAGTGAATTAATTTAAAAGACATCGAAAAAATAACACTGGGGTGGGGCGGGGCGTGGTGGGAGGGGTGGGGTTGCTCAGCCTGTGTCACCCTCTCATCGCTGTGGTCAGAAGGATGTGGGTTTGACGCTGGGGAGGGATAGGGGAAAGATGACCACAAGCACGGTTATAGGGCTAAGTCTTGAGACAGACATTGAACGAGGGGAGAGTGCGAGCGAGTTGGTGGGACTCTGGCTTGGGGGAGCAGAACAGTTGAAAGCCCAATGGGGTGTGTTTGGGAGGGGATGGGGAAGAAGCCGGTTCACTGAGCGAATCGAACAGCCTAGTCAACAGGGTTGAAGCAGGTCCGCAGGTCGGGTGGAGATCATGGATAAGATTTGAAGACAATTACTGACGGGCAATAGATAACAACCACAACAAGATTCCATTTATAGAGCGCCTTTCACGTCGGGAGGACAAAATATTGCATCTATTTAGCGCTCCTCATGCAGAGAAGTATCCCAGAGCATTTGAGATAATGGCAATTAAAATAATGCCAGTCTCTTCTGATTGGAAATGGTTTAATGAAACTCTTTCTCTCTCTCTCTCTCTCTCTCTCTCTCTCTCAGGCCACCTTTGTTGGTTTGCAGGCTCTTGCTGCATACCTGATTCAAATGCCCGATTCGAAAGCTGTCAATATGGATGTCACTCTGACCATCAAGGGCAGGCAAAATTCCTTTCCCTGGCATTTTAACACAGAAAATGTGTATGTAGCGAAATCTGAAAAGGTTAGTGCTTATATAATATAATTTACACTTACACCGTGCCTTTCACATTGGGATAATGCGTTGCCCCTTCCTTACCCATCTACAGGTCGCGCCTGAAGACATGAGGCTTACGGTCACCTCACACCGGCTCGGAGCTCTGCTCTGCCACTGTTCAGCTCTCTGGGACCCACCCCGCTCTGCATGAGTGAGGGGCGCAAGTTGTTGCTGTTGAATTCAATCTTGTGCTTCGATTGAGACAGAGCTCTCTCTCTGCTCTGTTCAGGCAGATGTTAACGGTCACCTACCGGGGAATATCGTCCTCCCCCCACCCCCCCCGGATAAAATTTGCATTAAATTCTTGGCTGTTGGCGGGACATTACTGAACATAAAAAATTGTGTTGGCCTACAAAGCACACAGTCACTATGCTTTGTGAAGCACTTTGCGATGGGGGGGGGGGGGGTTCTGACTCTTTTAATATTCTATGTTTTTATGTTCCAGATCAACATCAATCAAAACTTCACTGTCGCAGTGACAGGTCAAGGCCAGGGGATGCTAACAGTGAGTTCAGTTAGTTCAGGGAAATTTACTATTCATGAGTTTGTTTCTCAAGAGGAATTCTCATCCCAGGTGTCGGAATTCGAGGCTCCGCGAATTGTCGGATGCAGGTGGGAATGAGATACAATACAATCGGCTGAGCGGAGGGATCGGGCAGGTTGGCAATAGGTTAGGAGGTCACCGAGGTAAGGAGGAGCAAGGCCATGGAGGGCTTTGATGATGAGTAACAGGATCTTGAACTGTATCCTCTATGTGATGGGAAGTCAGTGGAGTCGGGCGATGATGGGGGTGAAGGGTCACAGAGCCTGGTGCGGGAGAGGACACGGCCTGCAAAGTTCTGGATGATCTGCAGCCTGTGGAGGTAGAGGTGGGGAGGCCGACAAGCAGAGAGTTTGTGTAGTCGAGCCTGGATGTGATGAATGTGTGTATGAGGGTCTCGGGCCTGCGGTGTGAGACAGTGGCGGAGCCGGGCGATGTTGCGGAGGTGGGGAAAGGTGGAGCGGGACACGGCACAGATGTGAGGGATGAAGGACAATTGAGGGTCGAATAGGATGGTGAGGTTCCATATTGGCTGCGCGAGGTGTAGAGGGCATCCATGAAGGGTGATGCCCGAGGTATGGAGACGCTGACGGGAGCCAAGCAAGAGATCTTGTTGGCATTCAACTGGAGGAAGCCCATCTGAGATGGACGAGGGGGAGAAGGGAAGGACTTAGAGATCACAAATCCAGCTCCAGCTGTTCGCCCGCCCTTCATTTCAGCATTTTTTTTAAAAAAATTATCTTCCCCCTTTGCTAATTATCTGAACCTGATATGTTTGTGGCTAAGTTTCTGCTGTAACTGAACCTCCCACATCCTTTCCCTGAAGGTGACGACCATTTACAACGCTTTATTGACTGAAAAAGCCAAGGAGTGCCAGAAATTTGACTTGCGAGTTACTCTGGAAGAGGTTTTTCCAGGTAAGCACCACATTATCCGACCAGTGTCAGCGTCGGTGTTCCTATAGCATCAGAAGTAAGGATTGGGGAGTCCTGTAGCATAGTGGTTAACACACTCGGAGGGAGGGAGGGGGGGAGGGGAGTCCTGTAGCGTAGTGGTTAACACACTTGGAGGGATGGAGGGAGGGTAGTCCTGTAGAGTAGTGGTTAACACACTTGCAGGGAGGGAGGGGGGGAGGGAGGGGAGTCCTGTAGCGTAGTGGTTAACACATTTGGAGGGAGGGAAGGAGGGGCCCAGTTTTGAGACCAGAAATACATGGAAATGGCCAGTGACCAAAATTTAAAAATGGCCATTATCTGAGGCACCACCGGCATCACATTCGGGATAAATCGGAGCCGGAATCGGGAAGTGGAGGGTGGATATGCCGTACAAACAGAATCTTCCTTCACATTGTTACAGAAAAAAAACCACAAGGCGCCCTGAGCTCTGTATTGATAAACGTGTGTGCACGGTAAGTGGGCTGAATATTAATCAATACATGACCAAATTGTACAATATTTCCCCTGACAATAAACAGCGCTGTGGGCGGCCGAGCAGTTCCTGAGCGTGAATTCAAGGGGGAGTTCAATTTAACGCGTTCAAATTGCTGCCTTATAAATGCATTTTCTAAGCCCGTTACTCAGACCCCCAACTCCCGGCACCGACCAGCCAGCTTCTCGCTCTAAAGAAAACGTCCGACTCCCTGATGGTCAGGTTTGCCCCCGTCACCCCGGCCTGTGTGCAGGAAGTCATGTCGGCAGCGACCAGGAAGCCGATCCAGAAGTTGGCTGTTTTTTTTTCACTTCGGCCTCTTGAGATATTCGACCAAGACGATTTGTGTGTTCCTCTTTAGGAATCTGGAAGAGACAGAGGTGACAATGACCATCGCGGATATTTCCATGTTAACTGCATTTTCTCCGGATTTGGATGATTTGAAAGCGGTAATATTGCATTTCTAAATTGATGGGCAGTCTAAGGATTTTAACACTATAATAACACTCCTCACATTTGGCCCAGTGACTTTCACGTCAGGAGACCTTCACTGTTCAGTGGAGTGCTGTAGCACGTTAGTTAGGGCACTCGCCTCGCAAGCAAGAGGACCCGGGTTTGATTCCCAGGCAGGGCGAAACCTTGGGCAAGTTTCCTTATTTCACATGCCTCTGTTTATCCTACAGTAAGCAATTATAATGATTTGGTCACTCAATCCGCGACTGCGTGGGGGACACTGCTGTCTGCAATTGGCTGCCACGTTTCGCCCACAAAATATACACTTTACAGTATATCCTGTGAAGCAAGCACTGAGATGTCTCAATGACGTGATCATGCGCTGAATCAAATGCAAGGGTTATTATTAAGCGAGTCGGAGAATATGGCAGCTTTCTATAAAATGCCTTAAGTGTACTTGTCGGCAGGTAAGTTATGCTGTAATTTGAAGGTGAATATCTTAACAATATCTTTTCAAGATGGAGGTTGATAAATATTTGTTGGGTCCGGGTGTTAAGGGATATGGGACAAGGGCGGGTTACAGGAAATGTCAGCACAGGCTCGATGGGCTGAATAGCCTCCTCCTCTTTCAAGATGTCTATGTATCTATGTATTAGTAATGATCTTAGTCACAAATAACAAGTTGTTTGATAAGTTGATATATTTTATTGATCTGTGGGTTTCTTTGCAGATTTCAACTGGCGTCGATCTGTACATATCAAAGTTTGAACTCAACAAAGATACTTCACGCAAAAGTTCCTTGATTATTTATCTGGATAAACTAAGACACGACACATATTTGTATCTTTTTACCGAATATTCCTCTTATTTAAAAAAAAACTATTTATGTAACCAGAGGTTTATCGTGCCCCCATCCGCCCTTGCCCTTCTCTGATGACGTTGCTTCCTGTGCCTTGAGGTAGTTGGTTGAGAGGGACGATGGCTGAAGGGGTGGGGTTGTGCTATATTTGGAGCTATAATTACAATTCTCCAATTGGGTTTCCTTAAACGCCTTAAAAATTATCTGTAAAGGAACCATCAGCCCAAAGTGTCTGCTCATATTTCTGCTTGGAAACCCCCGCAGGTCTCCCGTGATGAAGACACTTGCTTTGCATTTAAAGCACATCAGTAGTTTAAAGTTGGTTTCATGCAACCAGCTGCAGTTGAGGTGTATGAATACTATGATTCAGGTGAGTATTTACAGGACGGGTGCCTCTATACCAGAGCCCCCCACCACCGTCCATCTCCCCACGCATTGATGATCTGGATTCACCGACCCAGTGTGAGGTACTTACATTTACAGATGACATCAAGTTAGGGGAAAAATTGCAGAACCTGAGGAGGCAGCAAAAGTCTTGGGCTGATAAGTGGCGAATGAAGTTTAGTGCAGATATCTGAAACTCCATCCCGGAGGCTCTCTGACACCCCACCCCGCACATCACCATCTTGTTGAAGGCCTGGCTCAATATGCGTCTCTTTGACCTTCTGCCGCCTCTCCCCACCTCAGCTCCCATATTCCACCCAAAGCGCGGTCAAAAAGATACGTTTTGAGAAGGGCCTTGACCGAAACAAGGGAGGGAGTGATTTGCCAAAGGGGGAAGCTGATAAAAACTGTCTATTTATGCTTTATGTTTCTTTTTTGTTCTAATATCCTCAGCAAACAGCTGCACATCGTTCTACAACTTAAAGGCAAGCAACGCCATGCTTGGTAAGATTTGTCACAACGAGATCTGCAGATGTGCAGCAGGTAATAAATCCAGACTTTCTCTCTCCTTGAACAGAGTTTTCAGATGGCTTTGTCCATCAGTCCCATTGTGTAAAGATTCGATCTGGGCGCTGGTCTTGTCAACTTGGCTCAGTGGGTCACGCTCTCGCCTCCGAGTCAGAAGATTGCCCATACGAAAGGGGAGTTAGAACTCATCTAGTCCAGGCTCAGGCTCCAGTGCGTTGCTGGGGGCTGAGCACCACATTGTGAAAAGCACCCTTTCAGGAGAGATGTTGGGGGAGTGGGAGCAAAAGTAGGAAAATAAACTTCCTAACCTCCCCATTGGCTCCTTTACAAATTATTGTAAATCAACACCCTCTTGTCACTTTCCTCTGGAGAGATTTAACTGAAAAACTTGACCCATTGACCACAGTGATGTGAGGATATTAATCTCTCTTTCTATTCTTCCCGATAGAAAACTGTGTTTCGCTACAGAAACCAAACGACAGATTGATAACTGCTGATATGAGACAATACCAGGCCTGCCTTCCGGAAGTTGATTTTGGTAATTATTTTTTCTGTCAGACAACAACTGTCTGATATTATCCCACCTCGTGGCTCAGTCACTCACACTCTTGCTTCTGAGTCAGGTCATGGATACATGCCACGTTGGGGACTTTGAGCTCACAGTGTAAACCTGAGGATCTGGTGCAACGCTGGGGGAGCACCACATTGTCGGAGGCGCCATCATCCGTATGAAACATTAAACTGACCTGCCTATTCGGGTGGATGTTAGAGATGTCTCCTGTGATGCTATTCGAAAAGAGAAGGGAGTTTAGTTTCTCTCTTTCCCCTAGTTTTCTGGTTTACAAACCCCAAGATAAAATCAGAGACTCATTACAACGGCTGTTTGTGAAGACATCACTGTGCCAAATAGTCTGCCACGTTCACCCACAAAAACACAGTCACTGCACTTTACAGTAAATTCTGTGAAGGGTTTTGAGACGTCTCATTGACATGAAAGGTGCTGTATTAAATAACTGTCCTTATGTTTGTTACAGTGCCTTGCAGGACATCTCTATAAAGTGCCTCGCAAGGATTCAATTGAAGCATTGTTATTAATAATTATAATTTCCACTGATTTCTAGTTTACAAGATACGATTCCTCAAAAAGGAAGAAAAAGAGGGTTACGATTACTACAGTTTCAAAGTCCTGACAGTGATTAAAGCCGGTGAGACAATCATCAGTTCAAATTGTTACTTGTCTAATTCGCGCAGAAACCCATCACTGTGAACAGCCGGGTGTCTGAGGGACAGGGAAAGCCATCACCGTGATCAGCCGGGTGTCTGAGGGACAGGGAAAGCCATGTGGAGTCCTGTGGCTCAGTGGTTAGAGCACTCGCTTTGCAAGTGAGAGCCCTGAGTTCAATTCCAGGCAGAGGGCGAAACCTTGGACAAGTTTCCTAACTCCACACAGAGCCTAATAATAATCCCTCCAAAACCAAAAACAATAAGAAATTGGTCATTTTCAATCTACGACACTTTGTGGGACATTGCTGTGCGCAATTGGCTGCCGCGTTCGCCCACAAATATGCAGTCAATTCACTTTACAGTGTGTTCTGTGAAGCACTTTGGGACGTCCTCCCAACGTGAAAAGCGCTATATCAAATGCAAGGATTATTAATATTATCACTGTGATCAGCCGGGTGTCTGAGAAACCCATCACTGGCAAAGATAAAATGAGTCATGGTGTCCGGCTGTGAATATTCCTCTTACAGGAAGTGACGAGGTGGTGGAGGGAAATGACAGGTTCTTGGTGTCACACGCCAGCTGCAAAGAGACGTTTGTGGTGGATCTGCAGGTCAAGGATTATTTGATTATGGGTTTTCAGAAAGATCTGTGGCCGATGAAAAATGGGTGAGTTGCAAATTCTGGCTTCTATTCTGCCTTTCAGTCGATCCATCGCCTGATCCACACACTCCTCCTGATCCACACACTCCTCCTGATCCACACACTCCTCCTGATCCACACACTCCTCCTGATCCACGCGCCTCCTTATCCACATGTCCATGTAATTCTCTACATCCATGGCTGCAATGTCCAGTTACAAATTGGAGGCGATGCCCGGTCAATCCTCACGAGTTACAAAATATCTTAATTTCAGAATGACCTACGTGGTCACGAAGGGGACCTGGGTGGAATGGTGGCCGAACAACGAGGAGTGTCAGGCTCGGACTTACAGAAGCCTCTGTGAGAACCTGATAGACTTTTCAGACACCCTGCGTGACTTTGGATGCACCACTTAAACACGCTCTGACTAACCACATCCAACAACAGCCCTCGCATTTGATACGGCGCCTTTTCACGTCAAGCCGCCTCACTGAGCTCCACGGGGGGGGGGGGGGGGTGTTGCGCTGTGACTGTGTCGGAGGATTTTCACCGCAGCGTCCGGCTGACGGGAAAGGCTCTGTATCAAAAGTAATTTTAATCAATAAAGTGCCGGCGTCCGATCGCCTCGGGAAGAGTCTCGAAGCGCCTTGCGGGGATTTTCCCGTGTGTCGTGTTAATTTTGTGCTGGTGGTGGTGGTTGTGACTGTGATTTGAGGGCTTTCGTGTCGTGACTTGTCGTGCGCGTGACATCATTTTGGGAACCGACAATAAAAAGCAGCTGAAATCAAACCAGTCTGTGTCAATTAATAAATTATTATCCCCAACCACCCTCGGCATGACTTGCTTACCATCGGGTGGTGGGGGGGGGGGGGGTGGGCAGGGTTTCTGCCTCTACTCTCTGGAACTCCATCCCCTTCCTCCCCTCTCTCTGACTCGCTCCCTCCTGAACAGCGCACAGATGGGGAACTCGACGACATGAAGGCGCTATACAAATGTAATTTTGTTGTTGTTGTTAACATCTCATCCGCAGGAAGGTGCCTGTGATGTTGCTTCCCTCCCCCCAGCGCTGGGCTGGAGCATCAGCCTGGACTTTGAGCTCAAAAAAGTCCCCAAACCTTAGGTTGAGGGTTGACAGGAGTGGGGGGGGGGTTGACATTTGCAGAATGATTGGCTTTAATCTGACTGAAGGTCAGAGATTGAGGATTTATAAACAAGTGAGAGGCTTGTCATCTCGGGGGAGAGAAACACTTGCTTTTTAACTAAAGGAATTTATGTAAAGCTCCTGTGAGGGAGACTGACTGGCCCAGCAATCCTGTTACTTTTCAACCTCAATGTCAGACAGACTGGCAGGGCGGGCAGGGCAGGCAGGCAGGGCGGGCAAGACAGGCAGGCAGGGCAGGCAGGACAGGCAGGCAGAGCGGGCAAGACAGGCAGGCAGGGCGGGCAGGACAGGCAGGCAGGGCGGGCAGGCAGGCAGGGCGGGCAGGCAGGCAGGGCGGGCAAGACAGGCAGGCAGGGCAGGCAGGACAGGCAGGCAGAGCGGGCAAGACAGGCAAGCAGGGCGGGCAGGACAGGCAGGCAGGGCGGGCAGGACAGGCAGGCAGGGCGGGCAAGACAGGCAGGCAGGGCGGGCAGGACAGGCAGGCAGGGCGGGCAGGACAGGCAGGCAGGGCGGATAGGCAGGCAAGACAAACAGGCAGGTCGGACGGACGGGACTCGAAGGGGAAGGGGAAGCGGGTTGGTTATTGGCTTGTTTGTGGGAGGGAGAAAGGTCAACCTCTTTAGAGTCATCACTACTGAACATTGCCACAGTGTGAGACAGAGAGTGTGTGTCACAGAGAAAATGAGACAGAGTGTGTGAGACGGAGAGTGTGTGAGACAGAGAGAGTGAGACAGAGTGTGAAACAGAGAGAGTGAACCACAGTGTGAGACAGAGAGAGTGAACCACAGTGTGAGACAGAGAGAGTGAGACAGAGTGTGAGACAGAGAGAGTGAACCACAGTGTGAGACAGAGATAGTGTGATAGAGGGTGAGACAGACCGTGTGTAAGTGTGTGAGACAGACGGAGAGTGTGAGAGAGAGTGAGCCGCAGTGTGAGACAGACGGAGAGTGTGAAAGAGAGTGAGCCGCAGTGTGAGTCAGACGGAGAGTGTGAGAGAGAGTGAGCCGCATGACAGGCGGGGATACTAACCAATATACTAACGAGCATTCACAAGGAGGAATATACTTTAACTCCATGGTGTACATATGTGATGAAAGCTTAGAGAGGTAGGGAGTGCCAAGGATTGGAGGGAGTTAAACAATAGAGAGAGTATCTTGAATCCGAACCGTTCTGTGACAGGAAGCCAGTGTACAGAAAAGTAAATCACTTCATATTTGGTTGTACAATCGGGGCTCTTAAGTGCTCAAAGCAAATTTCACAGGGAGGATCACATAGATCCGAAATGGAATTGAGAAACTACTTCCACATAATGTTGATGGTTTAATTCTTTCCTCTGATTCACTTGGATATATATCTGGCTGGAACATTGTGTTCAAATTGCTGCCAGCACATGTCGCTCCCAACCGAAGTGCCCTCTGGCATCTGAACGAGGTTTTCACAATCTGTCATAGACATGTCAGTTTTGTGTTCAAGTCGATTTCGTTACGTTAAAGACGTTAACGTCACGATATTGACTTTGACTTCGTGCCTGGCTTCTTATTGGAAATTTTATACATTTCCTAGATATTTTTTCAAAAGCATGTATTTCATCTGCAGCATGTTGTGCTGACCCAATTGGTTTAATTCTACAGAAATCATTACTGTACTTGAAACATGTATGTATATATATGTAAAATTCGGTCTTCCAATCGACAATTGTTTGTGTGGCAATGCTCTTTGTAATTAGTTGCCGCGTTTCACCGAAAAAATTACAGTGAACTCATTTCACAACATGTTCTGCGAAGCGCTTTTTGACGATTCGTAGGTATCAAAATTCTAATTCTGGACTGGAGACACTTATGTATGGAAATGGAATTGTGCACGTTCCAACATCACCATTGTCCCCACAGACTGACCTCCCAAAAAATATTGCAGAAAAAAACTCCGATTTGCAGATCAACATTATTATTTATTCAATTGTCTCGTAACTCGGCCAATATTATATGGCCGAATTGTGCTACACATGGCTGGGAAGCTTCCACGCACATCAAAGAACTGAGATTTGCAGGTGATGGAGAGTGTTTCAAACACTGACCTCAAAAGCGAGGTTACCTGAGTTCAATTCCCAGGCTGGAGTATGCCCAAGGCAAGTTTCCTTACTCCACCCACCGCTATTTCCCCATCAGAAAGCAGGAAATCGCTTGATAGACTGGCAGATCATATTTTTGGGAATAACAATCCCTCCATAAGAAAAAGACAATATAATAGTTTGTGAAACAATTCACGACTGTTTATGCTGTGTACAATCGGCTACTGTGTTTCGCCCACAAAATATATCGTCAATGCACATTACCGTATATCCTGGAAAGCGATTTGCATTTTCTCGAAGTCGTGATAAGGCACGATATTAAATGCAAGGTTGATTAAAATTATTATCATCTTTCTCCTCACAGCACAGCGCAGAAACTAGCGGATCACAATCGTGACTAAATGACCAAAGAACGTAATTGGAAAACCGTAACAGATTTCATTCAATGCATTAACCTGGCTTTTAGTTTTAGAAATTGAGCGAATGGAAAGAGCACACCATTTCTGAGCTCCTCTCTGAACTTCCTCTGGCTCACCGCATAAATACACGTGTTTGTGCCACAGCTGAAAAGCTGGAGCATAATCCCCACTTCTTGTCTGATGAACAACGGATCGTCGAGACCTGTGTAATAGTAGTTTGCCGTGATTCGGCCGTATATACCATTGACCACGTAAGTCATCCAGAGGAGGATAAAACTGCCTGAAACAGCGAAGAGTAAAATAATGGACTTCCTGCGACACTCCATCTCCGGATCCTTCCGTTTCCCTGCAATATTGCCCGACAGGAGTTTTGCACGGACTTTGCTGCTCACCAGTATGTGTCTGACAGTCAACGCATTCAAGAGCAGAATCAACAGGAATGGGAGCAAAGGATTCCAAATGTATATAAAGTAGGCATAGATTTTCCATCCTAGCAACAAGTTAAAGCTCTCAGTGTGGACACAGCCCCATGAGACGTTGTTAATAACGTAGCGAGGACCAAATATAAAATAATCACCAATGCTCCTCAAACAGTTTATGATAAATAATGTGCCGATCACCTTGACCGCGGTTTCTTCAGTACAAAATATTGTTTGCAGCTTTTGCCAACAAATGGCTATGAAGCGATCGAAGGTAAACGCAACTGTGAACCACACAGAGCAATCTGTGGAGGCCTTAAATAGAACTACATTGACACGACAAACCGGGGTGAAATTCAGCACCGTGGTGGCAAAGTAAATGTATCCAGTTCGGTAACATATCACATCAAATATCACCACCATCAGATCTGCCGCTGCCATGGCCACCAGGTAGCGAGTGACGCATTTGGAGAGACCGCACTTTCCTCTATACAGAATCACGATGGCCACTAGGTTTACTGGAAGAGAAAGAGAGAATACAGGTTCAGCAATTGCCACATTAATGCTTAGAAACCAGGTATATTGATATTCAGGAGCAAAATAAATGGAATTAGAAATGGACGGATGAATGATAAATTTGCTGCAATTCACTCCACAACCAGGACAGGCTGGAGTGGGATGAAAAGACAATTCCTTTCACAGGTTCTTCACAAAGACGTGTAAAAGACTGCAAACAGAAACATGTTACTCAGACCAACCTTCTTTGTCAGTGTTTATGTTCCGCATTAGTCGCCTTCCCCGACTCATCGTTCACTTTTCTGCATACCCATATAATCCTATCTACCTCACCTCTCTACCGCGCATTTTTTTTCAATCACCACTTATGGCTGTGTGTTCCGCATTCTCACTCATGAAGTAGTTCTTCCTAACTTCCCATTGGAATCACTTTAATATTATTTTGTTCTCCTGGTTACGCACTCCGTATCTTGTTTGAACAGACTATTGATGCTATACCCATCAAAAGCTTTTGGGGAGTAGTTTATTGTCTCATGGTCAGGAGCTCGCCTCGCAGAGTAGGCCATAAATTGCTGTGTGTCGTGTCAACCATTAAGTTCACAGTCATGACGTGGGGCTTGGACCTACGCCTTTCTGAAATATATGTGAGATTGCTACCGGTTGAGCCAGACTGGCACCAAGTTGCAGTATGCCTGTCAAGACAACGGTGAATTAGATGCGGTTGCATTAAACTTTTAGCTCCTTCAGGAAACTTCATCATATTACCACTCAATCTCTTCCTCACAGCATCTCTGCATCACCTGCTCCAGTTCTCAACACGGATGCGTGTCCTGCACTATTATGTCTCTGCCCTGTTGGCCTCTGCGTGAGAGGGTTTTGATTTCCAAAGCTATCGTTCCTGTGCAGTGCTGGTGGA